AAAATTCTAACTAAAATTCTTAAACAAATTTTCCAACAGTTAAAATTTAAAAACACACAAAACTTGATAACAAAATTTTCCCAACTTCAAATTTAGCAAAGATGTTAAAGATACTGTAACATTTTACCTCTACTCTACCGGCTACAAAGAAAGAAACTTTTCAAAGTTTTTGAACTGAATATTAAAATCTGCATTTATGATAGAGTCTGTGCTGAAGATTTCATAACTCATATTTCAGGCAAACACAAACAAAAATACATAAAACCAATGTGTCGACATAGCCAAGACTTGCATCGATGAGTTTATAGGGGGAGTTTCATAAACCTTAATGAAAAGCAACCAACTAAACTACACAATGCCTAAGCAACTTTGTAAAATCAGTTTACTGTTTTATTTATCAATATAAAACCTACCATATGTAATGTTTGTTAAGTTTTCGAGGAAATGAAAAGCATTTCTTGGTTTGATGCGTAATTGGGCCACAAAAACACTATGATCTCATAAACCTACATACACACTCTTACACTTTCTAATATACAAAGAAAATGCTATTAAAGCAACAAAAACAAGGCTTTCGAAAAAAGTGGAAAATAAGAAAGAAACGAAAAAAAAACACCATAACAGCAAAAATGAAACATGTTTTCTTTAAAAGCCTTTTTCAATGCAAAAAGAAATAATAATAATGAATACTTCCGCAATAGGACAACATCATACTTGTAGTTTCTTAATTTAATGTTGCTGCATTCCCTTTTAGTTGTTTGCCTTTTATCTGTCAAACAAACATACATACTTGTAACGTACAAAGAGTTTTGAAAAATTGCCAATAATTTTGCAAAACTAGTACTAAATGGCAAAAAAAATTATATATAAAAAAAATTTAAAATTTACTAAAAAAAAAAAAATAAACCATAAAGCTAAAATATGGTTTCCAGCTAAAGACAAACAAATCAATGTTATTTTTTATTTTCTCTATTTATAAAAAAACCCAAAATAAATTTTAAAGAATCTTTCATGACTTAAGGCTATTTTTCGTTTGTTATTTTATACTTATACAAAGAATTTTATTTCTTTCAAAATATTTAACAGTTATCAGTACGCATAAAACGTACATACATACATATATAAATATTTTTCTTAATATGACTTTAAGCCATATACAAATTATGCTTTTTCTTATTTATGCTGCTGAACAAATTGGAAAAAGAAGAAAAAAAACTTTGTTTTTTTTTTGTCTGAAGTTTGCAGTACGTATTAAGTTGCATGTATTTAAGGCTAATTAATTGCTGTGCATTCATTTCAGCCATAAACTAGCCACATAAAAAAAGAAATCCAGATTGTGGTCATTAAAATACTATACGCCAAAGGAGAATAAAAAGAAGTATCAGAAAACTAAAGTCTCACAGAGCCAAAAGGTATAAGATACCAGACTTTTTTATGGTCTTTGTTTCATACATACATAAAGGTAATAAAAAAAGGTTCTTCATTATATGCAAAAGAACAATTAATTAAGAGTAGAACCAAAAAAGGGGAAAAAGTTATCAAGAGGAGGAAATAAATGGAAGTTATATGCTTAAACATTGTAGAAACAAAAATAAGTTTCAAGAACTAAGTAAAAAGGTTGGCATTAAAAGAGAATATTGTTATAAGAATTAATAAAAGTTTTCTCTTACAAAAATACACACTAACATACCGAAGTGTATGTATGTTGTAATAAATAATATTATTATAATTTAAGAAATTATATTTGAATATAAAGGTAAAATTAAGTCTTTATTCAATTTATACCGAAGTACTTATGAGGAAAATGGGTTGGCCATTGGCCGATCTGTACATAACAAGTGGAACGAAATAAAAAGTAGGAACAAAACGGATGATTGATTGACTGTAACTAACTAACTACAACTAACTAACTAACTACCTAACTAACTAACTAACTACTACTAACTACTAACTAACTACTAACTAACTAACTAACTACTCTAACTAACTACTACTACTAACTAACTACTAACTAACTAACTACTAACTACTAACTAACTAACTAACTAACTAACTACTACTAACTAACTAACTAACTAACTACTAACTAACTACTAACTAACTAACTAACTACTACTATAACTAACTAACTAACTAACTACTAACTAACTAACTAACTAACTAACTAACTAACTACTAACTAACTAACTAACTAACTACTAACTAACTACTAACTAACTAACTAACTAACTAACTAACTAACTAACTAACTAACTAACTAACTAACTAACTACTAACTAACTAAACTAACTAACTAACTAACTACTAACTAACTACTAACTAACTAACTAACTAACTAACTACTAAACTACTAACTAACTAACTACTAACTAACTCTAACTAACTACTAACTAACTAACTAACTACTAACTAACTAACTAAGTACTAACTAACTAACTAACTAACTAACTAACTAACTAACTAACTACAACTACCTAACTACTAACTAACTAACTAACTAACTACTAACTAACTAACTACTAACTAACTAACTACTAACTACTAACTACTAACTACTAACTAACTAACTAACTAACTAACTAACTAACTCACTAACTAACTAACTAACTAACTAACTAACTACTAACTAACTAACTAACTACTAACTAACTAACTAACTAACTAACTAACTAACTAACTAACTACTAACTAACTACTAACTAACTAACTAACTACTAACTACTACTAACTAACTAACTAACTAACTAACTACTAACTAACTACTACTAACTACTACTAACTAACTACTAACTAACTAACTACTAACTAACTAACTAACTAACTAACTAACTACTAACTAACTAACTAACTAACTAACTAACTACTACTAACTAACTAACTAACTACTAACTAACTACTAACTACTAACTAACTAACTAACTAACTAACTACCTAACTAACTAACTAACTAACTACTACTAACTAACTAACTAACTAACTAACTAACTAACTACTACTAACTAACTACTAACTACCTACTAACTAACTACCTAACTAACTAACTAACTAACTAACTAACTAATACTACTAACTAACTAACTAACTAACTAACTAACTAACTACTAACTAACTAACTAACTAACTAACTAACTAACTAACTAACTAACTAACTAACTAACTACTACTAACTAACTAACTACTAACTAACTAACTAATACTACTAACAACTAACTAACTACTAACTAACTAACTAACTAACTAACTAACTAACTAACTAACTAAGTAGCTAACTAACTAACTTACTAACTAACTAACTACTGTATAACCATTCTCACGGTAAAACGAAGCAATAAAAATTAACGAAGTTTACTCAAAATATATCATCATTGTTTGATGTAGAAAATGAGCAAAATCGGTTCACATCGGGAATATATTTGAATCAAAATTAAAAACAAAACTCCGAAAATTTACACATACTAATGTGATTTTCACAAAAACTGTGCGCTGTTGTGATGCTGTTGAAAATTGGCGGAATCGGTCGACACAACTTAAATTACTTCCCATACAAATGTACATATTCCCGGAAAATGAGTTTATTGTTAATAACTTTCTTTAGAATGTATATAAAAAGTGCACAACAATGCTTATATTTCAATTTCCCTAAATCTTTCACACACACACACATAATATGAATACATGTATTATTAAATATCGGTAACGCATGTTTTAGGGCGCTTTAGAAATGTAAATGAAAATGGTGTGTGTAATGTTCAAGAAATCTTGCATTTGTAGTAGATTTAAGCTATTTAAATCTTGGGGTTTTTCTATTTAAGACATGATAAAACTTATTTCTACAAATATTTGATCAATTAGAAAAGTATTAATATAAAAGTAGCTGGTGGAGGGTGTTTAAGATTCGGCTCAGCCAAATATAGCACTCTAACTTGTTATCACATAGTTTTCTACGTTCATTGTTTATATCTTATTACATTTCTATTTGGTTTTGAACGATGTTTTGGTTGGTCGCTTTGACCCATTTCAGTTATCGACATAGTTTGTCTATTCATTATATTTTGCTGTTACATGATATTATTTATGTTTTTTTAAAAAATCATCCTAACAACTAAATTTATACATTCTTCAACACATTTGCTGGTAGAGAAAGGCAAGATGTCTAAAAATGTTGGTTATTGACAAATATATTAGTTAAAAAATTTTCAAGATAACATTATAATAAAATGTTCTTTCAATATGTTACAAACACATTTACTAACCAGCAATACCAACAATTATAAATAAAATTCTTGGGAGAAAGAAAAACTTTTCAAGTTTTCGTAGAAATAAAAAGAAAAAAAACACTAAACTAAAACAAACAGTAAACTTTTTCTCTGATTACCTGTGAAATTCTATACACATACCTCTACAATTTCTTTTTTCTGTTTCTCCATTTTCTTTACATTTAAAACTGTATATAAAAACTTATTTTCGCAACAAAAAAAGTTTTTCTTTTAAAGTATGTATGTAATATTAAATGAAAAGTTGTATATGTAAATTGCAACACATGTGGACGTCAGCATTAGGGGGCAAACTGCGCTAAAAGAGTATTTTCATTTCAAGAGTACCTTAAGAAATATTTCGCCTGACAGTATGCACCTCCTTATGTTGCTTATATGTGAAAATTGTTTTCTTTTTGTTAGTGTTGTTTAAATAACTTTGCAAATAAACATGAAGATTTTTACGGAATCTTTTTCTATTTTTATTATAAAAGTAAAATAAAACTAAAATTACAAGTAACAATTTACTTGAGCTCGAATTTTCTTTAAATAAACAAATTAAAATTTGTTTTCGGAACCAAATTTTTGTGCATGTCTCTATTTTTCATTTAATTCATTAACTTTTAATTGTTAAAAACAAGTGTAGGATTTTTTAAAGATTCAGGCAGAAATAAAAAATAAATTATATTTATTAAGAATTTTGTTACAAACGCTTTATGCTGTTTTATAAAGATAACAATTACTTACAAAGTTATTACGAAATCTGTAATAATCCATGAAATTTGAAGAAAATTTTCTGAAAATAAAAGAAAATACCAAAAAACGGGTTGTTATTAAAAAAAATAATATTTTAAAATTTACATAATTTACTTTTATAAAAAAATATTTTATAAATTTCTTATTTAACATTATTTTTTTTATTTTCTAAATTAATTATTAAAAATTTTGTTTTATAAACTTTTTATAAAAATTTTTTTACGAATATGGCAGTAAAACATTTTACTATATATTCTAATTTAGAACCAAAACATTTAACATTATTTTTCTTCTGTAATAATATTTCATGCCCAAATTCTTGTCATAGTAATAATTTACTTTTTCTCTTATTTATCTTTTTGTCTTCTTATACGACAATTATTTTCTTATAAAATATGTTTTTCTTTATATTTTTTCCTTTCCTTGACTTTCTTATTTTATGTCTAATTTATTTGTAATTTATTTTCATACATCCTCAATGTTTCGTAAGTGGCGTCATCGTTCTGTCAGTAGTCTATTAAGATTTGTGTCTTAAGATTAAGATGAAACGCAAAAAAAAAGAACATAAGAGGAAAGAAAAAACATTTTGACCAACATTTTAAAGAAAAACAAAAATATAAAAATAAATTTGTTAGGAAAGTTTAATAAGAAAACAAACATAAACTAAATAAACTACATACAGAAAAAGAAAAACACTTGAAAAAGTTTTTTTTTTCCCTGGAAAAGAAACATTTCTTTATTTTAAATTGCAAAAAAAAAATAATTTGTTTTGTTATAGAATTTGCATATAATTTTCAAATTCTTTGAACATTTAATTTAGTCGTAGACATAAAGAAATAATTTGTTATTTTCATTTATCTATTTGTTTAAGTGGCAAAATTATAGGATTTATTAAGCACATACACCACCTAAAAAAATGTTTTAGTTCAGTTCTAGTTCAGTTCTAGTTCAGTTCTAGTTCAGTTCTAGATCAGTTCTAGTTCAGTTCTAGTTCAGTTCTAGTTCAGTTCTAGTTCAGTTCTAGTTCAGTTCTAGTTCAGTTTTAGTTCAGTTCTAGTTCAGTTCTAGTTCAGTTCTAGTTCAGTTCTAGTTCAGTTCTAGTTCAGTTCTAGTTCAGTTCTAGTTCAGTTCTAGTTCAGTTCTAGTTCAGTTCTAGTTCAGTTCTAGTTCAGTTCTAGTTCAGTTCTAGTTCAGTTCTAGTTCAGTTCTAGTTCAGTTCTAGTTCAGTTCTAGTTCAGTTCTAGTTCAGTTCTAGTTCAGTTCTAGTTCAGTTCTAGTTCAGTTCTAGTTCAGTTCTAGTTCAGTTCTTGTTGATTTTGATTTTTATGTACATTTAAATTTTTAAAATAATTATTATACGCACCGCTGAGTATTACTAATGAAAACTCTAGCACTTTTATTATACCCTCCACCACCATCCGTGGTGATAGAGGGTATATATAAGTTTGTCATTCCGTTTGTAACACGGAAATATTCATCTGAGACCCAACAAAGTATATATATTCTTGGTCCTTATGAAATTCTGAGTCGATTTAGCTATGTCCGTCTGTCCGTCTGTCTGTCTGTCTGTATAAAACACGCTCACGTTAAAACCAACCAGTTTGGTATTGCAAATGAGCAAAATCGGTTCACACCGGGAAAAGTTATGAGTCGAAATTTAAAACAACCTCGAAAAAAATAAGCATTTTTTACACATTCTGATGTAATTTTCTCGAAAAATATGCAAGATAAATTAATGAAAATCACCATACATTAGTCTTTACACAAGAGCTTGAACCCTGCTGAAAATTGCTAGAATCGGTTCACAATTTCATATACCTCCCATACAAAAGTACATATTCCCGGAAAATGGGTTTTTATACCCACCATCAAAAAAGATGGGGGGTATATTGTTTTTGTCATTCCGTTTGTAACACATTGAAATATTCGTCTAAGACCCATAAAAGTATATATATTCTGGGTCCTTATAAGATTCTAAGACGATCTAGCCATGTCCGTCCGTCTATCCGTCTGTCCGTCTGTCCGTCTGTCCGTCTGTCTGTCTGTCTGTTGAAAACACGATAGAGTCCAAATGGAAGCAGCTAGCGAGCTGAAATTTTGCACAGATACTTCTAGTTGATGCAGTTTGTTTGGTATTGAAAATGGACAATATCGGTCCACAATTTCGCCTAGCCCCCATATAAGGCCCCCTTCAGAAAATGACTTTATCGCTCATAACTTGCTAAGAGAAGAACTAATAGCGGTGAAATTTGGCACAAATATGTCTTATGGGAACCTAAATCTCTTCGTATAATTTTATAAGGATCGGTCCATAATTGACCCTACCCCCCATATAAAGTCCCCTTCAGAAAATGACTTTATCGCCCATAACTGCCTAAGAAAAGCATCAATAGCGGTGAAATTCGGCACAAACATGTTTTATGGGAACATAAATCTTTTTTTTAAATTTTATAAAGATCGGTCCATAATTGACCCTACCCCCCACATAAAGTCCCCTCCAAAAATGACTTTATCGCTCATAACTTGCTAAGTGAAGAACCAATAGCGGTGAAATTCGGCACAAACATGTTTCATGGGAACCTAAATCTCTTTCTAAAATTTTATAAGGATAGGCTCATAATTGACCCTACCCCCCATATAAAGTCCCGTTCAGAAAATGACTTTATCGCCCATAACTGGCTAAGAGAAGCATCAATAGCGGTAAAATTCGGCACAAACATGTTTTATGGGAACATAAATTTCTTCATATAATTTTATAAGGATCGGTCCATAATTGACCCTACCCCCCATATAAAGTCCCCTTCAGAAAATGACCTTATCGCCCATGACTGGCTAAGAAAAGCATCAATAGCGATGAAATTCGGCACAAACATGTTTTATAATAATTTAAATCTCTTCGTAAAATTTTATAAGGATCGGTTCATAATTGACCCTACCCCCATTACAAGGTCCCCTTCAGAAAATGATTTTAATGCTCATATCTGACCTTAAGAAACATATGTGCATATATATAGCAATAAAATTCGACATAAAAAATTTTTATAGGAACTAAAATCATTTTCTTAAATTTTATGAGGGTGGGTCCATAATTGACCCTACTCCCATATAAGGTCTCCTTCAGAAAATGACTTTAAGGCACAAACTAGTTTTGTGTGAGCCAAAAGTTCTTTATCAAATTTTATAAGGATCGGTCCTTAATTAGCCTTATCCCCCTTGTAAGGTCCCCTTCAGAAAATGACTTTAAAGCTCATTACTAGCTTAAAACTGCGAGTACTGAGTACGACATGAACAATTTTCGTATTAGCTACAATCTCTCACTAAATTTTATGAGGATCAGTCTGTAATTGACCATACCCCCCTATAAGGTCCCCTTCGGAAAATTACTATAACGCTCATTACTGACTCAAAAATGCTATTACAGCAGTGAAATTCTACGTAAACAAGTTTTGTACTAGCCAAAAACTATTTATCACATTTTATGGGGATCGGTTTATAACTGACCCCACCCTCCATATAAGGTCCCCCTCAGATAGTGACTGTAACGCTCGTTACTGTATGTAACGCTCAAATGCGACTACAGCGATGAAATTTCACATAAACAAGTTTTGTATGAGTTTATGGTTATAAATATTGGATCAAACAAAATTAATATTTTTAATTCGGAAGAGCACGGTCCATGCTTAAGCCATTATTAATTTCCCTCTTCCAAATATTTCCCTGATGTTCATAATAATATCGACATATGATTCAACATAGATCGATAATATCAAAGTTTATTTATAAGGATGATTTGATGGTGGGTATATAAGATTCGGCATGGCCGAATATAACACTCTTACTTGTTTGTTAATAACTTCGGTCACAATGTCGATATCTTCACAAAATTTTACAAATTAAAATCTTATGTCAACAGAATTGATCCAGAGAAAAACCTTTTTGGATCGGTCCATAATTGGACATAGCTCCCATACAAGGTCCCCTCCCGAAAATCACTTAAACGCACATAATTCATTACTAAATTAAGATATCCATATAAAATTTGGTACAAGTATTGCCCTCATATACAGAAATGTTGTTATGATTTTTTTTCCGATCGGTCCATAAATGGTCATAGCTCCCATACAAGGTCCGCTCCAGAAAATCACTTAAACGCGCATAACTCATTACTAAATTAAGATATCCATATAAAATTTGGTACAAGTATTGCTCTTATATACAGAAATATTACTGAAAAATTTTTTTCCGATCGGGCCATAATTGGTCATAGCTCCCATACAAGGTCCCCTCCCGAAAATCACTTAAAACCACATAACTCATTAGTAAATGAAGATATCCATATAAAATTTGGTACAAGTATTGCTCTTATATAAAATATTATTACGAAATTTTTTTCCGATCAGTTTATAATTGGTCGTAGTTTCCATACAAGGTCCCCTCCCGAAAATCACTTAAAACCACATAACTCATTAGTAAATGAAGATATTCATTTAAAATTTGGTACAAGTATTGCTCTTATATACAGAAATTTTACTAAGAAAGTTTCTTTGGATCGGTCCATAATTGGTCATAGCTCCCATACAAGGTCCCCTCCCGAAAATCACTTAAACGCGCATAACTCATTACTAAATTAAGATATCCACATACAAATTTGGTACAAGTGTTGCTTATATGTACAGAAATATTACTGTGAAACTGTTTTCCATCGGTCCATAATTGATTATAGCTCCCATACAAGGTCCCTTTCAGAAAAACACTTAAAGGCACATAGCTCATTACCAAATAGTGTTACCCATAAAATATTTGGCATAAATACTATTTTTGTACACATAAATTTTATTTCAAAATTTTTTCACGATCTGTCTATTCTTGGTCATAGCTCCCATACAAGGTTTCCTCCCGAAAATCACTTAAACGCACATAACTCATTACCAAATATTATATATATATAAATTATATATATAAATTAAACTATAAAATAAATTAAACTATAAAATTGTTTTACGATCTGTCCATATTTGGTCATAGCTCTCCAGAAAATCAC